TGTTCATGCTGCTATTTACCAGCTACAGCCTACACTGCCTATTCAGGAAAGCTATCCTTGAATTTAGAAGGGCAGCATTTGTTTCATTTCTTTCGCTTTGAATCTAAAGATACTTCATAGATCTCTCAGCTCAGATACGTTTTTCCCATCTGGAAAAAAGGAATTTCTATTCTGAGATGAGACTGCTGAGTCTGTTCTTGATTTTCACTGTAACCCAAGGTGTTGTAGGGCTGCTATGGCTGAATCTGATAAATCACCAGTTTGGATTACACATAATATTCATCACACAGCACCTGTTAGTGAATATTTTCTGTTCTTCTCTTCAGCTTGCCCTGAACAGAGTTTTGTCAAGTTATTTTCATTTCAATCCCAATCTAGTGTACTAAATACATCCATGATTACAGTATGTGTCATCTTGCATTCAGGTTTGTGGTAAAGAAAGATGAAGTGATAATGTAAGGAGCTCAAACATCTATTCACGAGGTTACTCAGCAGAGATGAGTTGGGTACTTGTGCCCATCTTCAATATACATCTAGAGCAGATGATACCTATACTGCAAAAAACATCAATTACGTTTTATTTTAAACCTAATTTTATATTTAAACCTTAACTGGGCTAAATGATGATTCTGTGGATCTCTGTTGGGAGAGGAAATTAAGATATGCTGTTATAAATAATCTGAATGCTAGTTAACACTGCTGAAGTGCTCTTAGTTAAACCAGAGATACGAATTCGCAGCCTTTTGCTGCCCACCCACCACTGCTGCATTCTAGTACACATGTGGCATTGTTCAAAGAGCAAGAGAAAACTTCAGGTCACTAATTCATTTGTCAGGTACATTAATTCATTTGTCAGGATGAAAGGCAGAATGGCTGATTAAGATTCTAAGAGTAAATGGCATCCTGTTTCATTATTTTTTACTAAGTCCCCAGGCTCATCTGGAAATACATTTTATGAATTCACTTACACTGGGAGTTGTATTGGTCTCCTACTTGCTGCTCCTATAGCAGTTAATAGCAAAGCTTCCTTTAACACTGTACAGCTGTACTGGTAAAGTACTTTTCAAGTGCAAGTGTTTTTTTGTATTTCAAGTAAGGTGGTTTTTTTGACTGCAGTTTGGTAGACAAGTGGATAAGTTCCATTGGAACTTGTTGGAGGGAAGGAACTGATTTTTCAGTGGTTCTTTGCAAAGCCATTTCACAAAAGTGTTTCTCTGAGTTTTGCTATTTCAGATACCTCTTGTATTTGGTGGTCCTCATGTTAGGCAGCTGTTGTGTAATTAGCAGAGTCTTTCTTCTTGCTATAAACATACAGCTATAAGCATATTCCTCTGTAAAGAGGCCTGCTGGGAGAGGCGTTAATGACAGATTGTGACTGTGATGACAGTTGCACAGATGCATGCTGTAGTAAGTGGACAGTAGCACTGGGTTTAGAAAAGGAGTAGTTTTTCTGTCTTTTGGAAAGTACTTTGGTCACTGTAATTGCAATAGGATTTTTGAAGTTGTAAGATTCTTGGGGCAAAGACTACATTGTAATTTTTCCTCTGTCTTATCCCTATGCTGTGTAATAACTAACTGAAGAAGCCCTAACTCTGAGGGTTCATTAATGTGCAAGATTGCTACTCTAGATTTGAACTATTATTGCTGAAACAGAAACTTTTGTCCTGAAATGCAGTTTTGAAATCCATAATTCTGTAGGTAAGGGTATCCATGAAACATGTCTGGGTGCAGTTTGCGTGACCTAGCCTTGAAAAGTACAGTGGTAAGGCTTGTGGTTGGGAATTGCTCACCAAAAGGGCCGTTAACTGGTCTTCTGGTAAAGGGGTGCCTGGCTTAAAAAGAAATTTGAAATGGAGCAATCATTCCCAGCTCCTCAGCACAGGATACAAACTGCAAGAGAAAGAAAAAGAAGTGTTCAAAGCCAGCTGCATTCCCCCGCTTTTTTCACTTTCAGCCTGAAATTAGTTTTTAGGGTGTAATCAATAAGAAAATTAGTGATAGGAGAGGGATTGGACTGTCCTTTGTGTTCTTCACTTCTGAGATTCAGGTGTAACCTGTGGAGCTTTGTGTCTCTGTATGGAGACCTGTATAATTCATAGTCAAGGTCCTGGGCATCCTGTTCTGCTTTGGACAATATCATGCAGGGGCAATTTAGCAGAGAATAAAAGCATGCATGACTGATCAAAATGACTGATCCCCAACATCTCTGAAGTAGAGGCGGTACCCGGTATTAACAAAAAGGTAGCCTAGAATGCCATAGAAAAGAAAGAACCAAGAGCAACAGCAAATAAAGGGGAAAAAAAAATCAAAAGGAAGGCATGGAAGCCAAAAGAAAAGTGACAGCAATGGGTGAAATTTGTAGGAAGGAAGGAAAACAAAAGATTAAAGAGACTAGGTAGGAAGAAGCTTTGACTGGGATTGCTCATCCAGTTGTACTTGTCTTTTTATATTCAGCCTTAAAGGTTATGAAGTGCTTTCCTCGAGGCATTTATGTTTTATGGCTTGTTCTGCCATGGGAAGCAGCACACCCTTATTTGCACACTCAGTCCTTATTTGCTTTAGAATTCTGGGAATGTGAATAAATAGACTTCTACCTAGTTATAGCGTGCAGCTAAGCTTGAATTGATCTTTAAAAAAAAACCCCAACCAACTAAAGCAGAAACTCAAACCAAAAAACACCAAAGAAACCCAGCCTGAAACCAACCAACAAACAAACTTTGAGATTCAAATGTGCCTTTTCATACAGCAGCAGTTCTAATTAAGGACAAGTGTAGCCATGATCTCTTGCTGGTAAATACTTCACAGCCTATAGCAATGTGTTACTACGTTCCATAAAAATAGAGGCAAATCCTTCAGTGAATTAATTTAGATTTTCATTCAAGATGTATCTCAAAAGAAATGTGTGTAGCTGTTACTTCAGAATTTACTGGATAGATTTTCTCAGGAGAGAAGGAAAATACAATCTTTCCATCTGATGTCCAGGCTCAGTTTATTATGGCTTAGACATGGGTTTAATCCTGCTATCTTGGATGGAAATCTGCATGTAGATGTGTTTGTTTGTTTGCTTGGTTTTGAAGCTTTCTTTTTCTTAACCAGAGGTTTTCATGGCTCCAAGGGCTCCAACAATAATTCCTACAGATGATACTGACACATGCTAGTAGAGGACAAAGCTGACAGATGTTCCAGCTGCTATTGTACTTGGTAGACATTTGTCGTAAATAATTCTGCTGGTCTTTTTGCTTACAGACGTGACCGATGCTTCTTGCAATCTCTAAATAGATGCATTGCCAAATAAACTACCAGGTTTTGAAACAGTTATGAGGGTCATGTTATTCTCACGATCTGGGAATGCTGTGGTGGTTTTCATTTCCTTGAGCTGATATGTCTAATGGCACCAGCACAGTGCCGTATGTACTTCATCGGGAGGTCTGTATACCTAAGGCTGTGTCCCACTGAAACCAAGGGAATTTATTTATGCAGGGAACAAAACCGTTTTTTCTCAGATGTAAAATCTAGGATTTGATCATGTGTACTGCTGAGGAGCAGTACATTTTACTGGCTCCCTTCCCACTTTGGGGTTGAGAGTGCTCATTGTAGTGAGGACATGGCAGCTGGTGAAATTATCCTCCAGACTTGCCTAGATTTCCATGGCAGACTGCAGGGACAGTACTCTTCAGTAAATATAATTCGCTCCATGTGGGGAAGATGTGATTTTGCAAGATAACCAGGGATTTTTATGAAAGGCTATTCCCTCACTGCAGTCTGCAAGCAGGTGTTGGAAAAGCAGGTACTTAAAAATGCTTTGGCATAAAATTCAAGCTTTGTGCAATTAAAAGCAATATGACGGAGAGCTGACAAACTCACTCTCTCTGAAAGAATGGTAGGGCTGCCTTTACAGGTGAAAAGACACAACTTTGGGTATCTGAATATCACAACACTCTTTCAGGGAAAAAGAATTCCACCAAAAGAAGATAAATCTTGTCTGAAATATTAATTTACTCAAATTAAATGGAAATTACAGTCCAAAAACCAGTTTCAGAGGTACATTTTTTTTTGTTCTACCTCATTCTATCTATTTAGAGCTGCTCTACATAAAGCACAGTAACAAAATATTTTTAAAATTACTTATCTTCCTATGTCTCAGTAGGATCCTCATCCAGATCAGCAGAGTGAGTCTGCAAGGTTGATCTGGTTTGTTATCCTTTGTGTTAGAAAAGAATCGTTTAGTTGGAAGGGACCTACAATGCTCATCTAGTCCAACTGTCTGACCACTTCAGGGCTGACCAAAAGTTAAAGCATGCTTGTTACTATGGGCATTGTGCAAGTGCCTTTTAAACACTGATAGGCATGGGGCATTGACCACCTCTCTACGGAGCCTATTCCAGTGTTTGACCACCCTCTTGGTAGATAAATGCTTCCTAACGTGCAGTCTGAAATTCCCCTGGTGCAGCTTTGTGTATGGATGCAGATACCATTGTGTTTATGTAAGACAGATGAATTCCTGGAAGCAGTATTTCACCAGGTTTTGAGAGATGGAGGAAGAGCTATGGCAGATTGTAGCTGTGTTCTGGAAAGTCTCTGGGTGTGGCACAGGATGCTGGGGGGATCAAGGGTTGGGAAGGGTAAAGGGAAGATATGATCGGTGGATGCTCAAGACTGAAGTGCCTGCCTTGTGGTTACCTCAGGCTGCAAGGCTTGGGTTAAATTTACCTGCCCCTTCTAGCCCTGTACTCTCAACAGCAGCAATCCTTACGGTAAACAAGCTCCTGTCCTCATTGTGTGGTGCCCTTTCTGAGAACATAAAAAGGGCATACATGGAATTTCCACTAGTACACCAGACTTGCGTATAGAAGCTTGATTGTGCTGGGATCTCCCTCGCAGGTTTTCAGACAAAGATTGCAGTGTTTTGAGAAGCGAGCTCGCTCTTGTGTTCTGTAAGCATGTGAGCTGTCATGCTGCGCTGTCTACTGACAAATAATAGTATGTCTTATTTCTCACAGGGCTTCCAAAGCAGCTGAGTCCAGGAGCTTAAGGAATGCCATGCAGTAGGTGCTGAACTAACTGGCACTGAAAGGAACAGAAAAAGATGGCAGTCTGTATTTGAAATAATTAAACACGTGGACTCTCGCTAATAAGAAACCATGTCAAAAAAAGGACGTAGCAAGGGCGAAAAGCCTGAGGCACTGATTGTTGCCCTACAGGCTGCCAATGAGGAACTCAGGACCAAGCTAACAGACATTCAAATTGAGCTGCATCAGGAGAAATCAAAGGTAAGTGAGGGTTTGGTTTTATTTAAGAGCGTCTGCGCTGAAGGAGGGAAACACATGGAAAAGGTGGTAGCGCAGAAATGAGCAGATGCAACACAACTGTTTCCTAGAATAGTGGTCTGCTGCTTTCTCCACATACAGCATTTTCTTACTGTGGACGTCCTGTTGCTTACATTGAAAAGACTTTATTGAGGTACGAGTCTAAGAGGCCTCTGGCACTCAAACGGAACAATGTGTCTTTTGTAACACCTTTGGCCATATTCAAGTTAGCGGATTTCATCCTATCCACTCAGTGTTTAGAAACTGTGTAGTGTTGCTGTTTTTTGAATTGCTGGTATCTCAGCAAGACATGCTCTTATTTCAAAGTCGAGTGAAGGGTTCCTTGAATGTATAGCATGGCAATCTATGTCAACCCTTTCAGTCCATCTGCACTGCAGCTGAATTGTATTTATACCCTAGGGTATGTATGCAGTGTTTAAACCTTGTTTAGGTACCACTTGGTCTGCCACAGTTACGGTCTCAGATATGTAGGCTAAAGGGAGATGAGTATCATACACAGACGGTATAGCCATGGCCCTGTGCTATAGACATACCTGTGGAGGTTTGAGGTGCCTCCCAGCACCTCAGAACTGTGTGCAGCATCTTCAGCTCTTGCCTGTATCTTCTGCTGAACTTTCCACTCTCTTTTCCTTCATTGTTTATGTAGGGCAGCCCTTACAAAACATGTGAGTGAGTTCTAGGAGAATCCTTCAGATTTGTTTTCCATGGAGCCTTCTGAGGAAGATTCCTCTCATTTTTATGGAGTGTTACTTGTCAGAAGCATCTTGGTGTTAGAAACCTACCTTCACTAAATCCTCTCCAAGTAATCAATTAGGCCTGCAGGCTCAACCACCAGTGTCTCCTGGAGGGCTTTCAGATGACCTGCTACAATGCTTATTCATATTGACAGGGGGTTTTTATCCCTGTTTTTTCTTTCTGAAAGAATCAGGGAATACAGAATGGTTTTGGTTGGAAGGGACCTTAAAGCTCATCCAGTTCCAAACCCCTGGCATGGGCAGGAACGTTGCACTAGATCAGGCTGCTCATAGCCCTGTCCAACCTGACTTTTCAGGTTTGCTTACTCTTCCTTGTGTTCCTTTTTCAATAAGGAATTAACAGGAAGTTCTTACAATCTTTGAAATCACATTCTTTTTCACTGTAAATGACAAACCTACCAAGTTTGCTTTGAACTGAAACCATTCCTTATCCATTGCTCTCCTTTGGTGTAGGTTCACACAGGTGACTATTGTGGAATTGCTCAGGGGTATGAAGTTACACCTAGAGATGTATTAGTGTAAGTGTACTGTGGACTGGTGGGTTGCTCTGTAACTTTGATTCCAAAACTATGGACAAAGAACTTTAAAAACTATTTTTAATAAGGACTAGCAAATGATGTATGCTAAGTAAAGCTACCTGTTTCATAAGCATAATAACCATGAAGCATGCTTGTCTGTAGGTATGTGACTAAGAAGTTACTACAAATGTCTGTGAAAGCTCTGTGTATGGGTAAGAACATTTGTAAAGGATGAAGTGTTTCCTGGACTTTGAGACTTGCACTTTACCTCAGGTGGGATCACATAGGGCCGAGCACTTCTCTCTCATCTGATTGACTGCCCATGGTCATGAAAGTTATAGGAACCTTGCTGTATCTAAGCCCTCTAATTTTCTGGTGAATTTGACTGACATTGATGGGGCAGAAAGTTGTTAGACAGATGCATACATATACATGGAGTCTTATTTCCTTAGGAAATACTTAAGCTACATGTGTCATTGTGTGAGGTGAGACACCTGGAGAAGACAGGGTTGTTTTGACTTGAGTAAAACAGCATAAAATCTGTGTGAATGCCCTGGGAGTTGGCCCATATTTTGCTTTAGGAGGGTGGAGGTTCATCTAGGTTCCCCAGCAGGGTCTTCCTCAGTTTAACATGACTGTGTGTCTGCGTGGTCCTGTTTTGATAACATTATCTTGGGAGCAAGTGACTTTCATTTTATCTTAATGTAGGTTGCTAAACTTGAAAGGGAGAAGACTCAAGAAACTAAGCGCATCCGTGAGGTGGAGCAGCGCAAGCAGACTGTGCAGATCACAGAGCTAAAAGCCAAACTCCATGAGGAGAAAATGAAGGAGCTGCAGGCTGTGAGGGAGAACCTCATCAAACAGCATGAGCAGGAGATGACGCGGATGGTCAAAGTCCGAGACAGTGAAATCCAGCGCCTGAAGTCAGCGCTGAGTGCGCTGCGGGATGGGAGCAGTGATAAAGTAAGGACAGCGCTGACTATTGAGGCTCGTGAGGAGGCCAGAAAACAGTTTGACTCTGAGCGCCTTAAACTTCTGCAGGAAATTACTGAACTGAAGTCTGCCAAAAAGCAGGTAGATGAGGCCCTTAACAATATGATCCAAGCTGATAAGATCAAGGCAGGGGATCTTCGGAGTGAGCATCAATCCCACCAGGAAGCCATTTCCAAGATCAAATGGGAGAGCGAAAGGGATATTCGCCGCCTGGTCAGTAACCAAAACAGTTCATGTATTCTTTTATGCCATAGTGAGTTTGCCTCTTGTGCCCTTAGCTTTTTCTGAATGCAGAACTCTGCAATGCACCTCAGTTTGCAAAAGTATTACAGGCTTCTCACTGTTATTTCTTAGCAGTAAATAGATCATGGTGAGTTGGTTAGAGAGTAACCACTGTGATGGCAGCTAACACCTTAAAGTGAGGAAATGGTTGGCCTAGTCCATAAGGATTTGGCTTGCTGAGATGCCAATACACATGCAGTACAAAGTGTTAGAAAGAGTGTTTGCATCTGCACGTGTTGTTTGTTAGTTTCTCCTGCCCTTGTGATGGTATCCTAAACATATTAATCAGTGGCAGGAGAGATATCTTTTGTTTTGGTCTTAGCACAGCCTTCAGTAATTACAGGGGAAAATGAACAAAATGAAGCCCGCATTAGCAATGGTGCAAGTTGCCATGTTTCCTCATCCAGGGAGCTGGACCTGCTTGCGGTGGTGGAAAGTTTAGCTTGAAAACTGGAATTCAGGATTTGACAGTTAAGTAAAAGAAATAGTGATGTAAGCTGTCAGGAATGATAATTTCTTGGGGGTCATCCTCAACCTGTTTGAAATCTGTGTACTGGAGGTACGTTCTTCTGTTGCCAGAATGCTCAGTGATGCAGTACAGACTAGGAGTGTTAGATTCTTCATATCTGCCTTCTGATTTTGACCCTTCTTGCTACTTTGATCCCCATTTGCAGTTTTGTGTAGACATGAGGACAAACTACTGGGTTTTTTTTTGTTGGGGCTTCTCCCCCCCCCCTCCTCTGGAATTGAGGCTCTGTCTTCATGTTTTCATATGGAAGGGAACTATAGTCAAACTCAGGGTAAGCCAGAGCTACATATAATAACACTAAGATCAACTTCGGTTGCACCATTGTGTTGTATATTTTATTGTTAGCTGCTGATGAAAGGCTTCTTGACAGCTCTTTACTCACATAAGAAACTTGAACAAGTCCAAAATTATTTTTATCTTACACAAGTGTTTTCCAAATCCACTGTATTGCTGTTAGAGTGCACGAAGTTACATCAGGGTGACATCTAGTGAATGGAGACCAGAAGCTAGTCCTGCTCACTGGAAAAACAGTTTGGGGAGGACTTCTGCAAGACTGGAAAGCTGCAAGACCAGAAAGTGTCTTTGCCTGAAGCTGCCAAAATTCAGGGTAGATACAAGTTTTGTTTTCAGGGAACGATTCGTACCGTTCCCGGATAATAGAACTTCTGTTTTCCAGAGTGATTTTCAAATTCTTGCTCACTAAATTTTTTGGAGCTGGTGATGTTATCAGTTTTGTATCAGTTTTCATGGTTGCAAGGCTTGCATGCTCTGATCTTAGAATTCTAATTTTTCATCTAGATTTTCCTATCAGCTATCATTCTTAAAAATTGCTGTGAGGTGAAATGACACTTCTTTTTGTCTTGGCTAGACCTGGGGTATTAAACAGAAATTAAGTAACAATAAAATGAATAGCTTGAGTTTGCAGTCAGCCAGGATTAATAGCATGACAATCAGCTTTAATACTGGGTCTGCACAGATCTTCTGTTTGTCAGAACTGGACCGTAACCTCTCCTGTCCCAGCCAGTGCAGCTGCATTTACATAAGAAGGAGCTATTCTAGGTTTGTCAGAGTTTATACTTATTTTTCACTAGTACAAATGACTGACCAAAATGCAGTGCAAAAGCCTGAACTATCCACCCAGTTATCTGTTAACATTGCACCAGGATCAGTCCCCGGGCTTCACTCTGTAAGGCTAGTGAATCTGCCACTGTGTCAATGTACTGTTATGGCTGAAATCTCAAAGTGTGTTGTTTTACAAGCCTGGTCCAGTGTGATATAGCAGATTTAAGTGTTGAACACTGCTGTTAAGTAAACCATATGCTACTATATTGGAGAAGGCTAAAATGATGTTACCTTTACACAGTAATATCATTGTTGTGTTTTTTCTCTCATTCAGATGGATGAGATCAAGGCTAAAGACAGGATCATATTTTCCTTGGAGAAAGAACTGGAGACACAGACAGGCTATGTGCAGAAGCTGCAGCTGCAGAAGGAAGCTCTGGATGAACAGCTCTTCTTGGTGAAGGAGGCAGAGTGTAACATGAGCAGTCCCAAGAGAGAAATCCCAGGAAGGGCTGGAGATGGTTCGGAGCACTGCAGCAGCCCTGTATGCAGGTTTTACTGGCTGCTGCAAAGCAGAAACATGGCTGAGTTTCTCTTGCTTAAATATTTTCTCAGGCCCTGGGAAAACATTCCCACTCTTGTTCACTACAGAGAAGTTATGTCTATAGATTTTTCAGAGAGAATACTAGTGAGACCAAGCTTTGTAAGGCTGTTTCCTCAGTTGCTGTATTTACAAGTATAAAATATATTAAATAATTAGTGCACCTTTGGAAGAATCATTCCATTAACATAACTACCTGGATAGCACAGATCCTTAAAACCACATAAAACCACGTAGAATTGAGAAGATGGTCAGGAGTGGGAAGGGTGAAGGAGGGGGTCAGGATCTGGGAGATTTCTCGGAGATCCTCCTTTGTCTTATTCTCCAGATATGCAGCCCTTGCCATCACTCACAAAGCATGCAGCTCACCAGTTGTGCGACTAAATATATGATGTTTACACAACAAATGTGTGTATATACCCATATTTATACATATAAGGAATAAGAAAATAAATGCAATTGATACTGAAAAGGATGTCCTTTTTCACCTGACATAGTGTCTCAGCAAAATGAAGTGAGGTATAGGAAAAGGTAATAAAAATTAGGGTCTTTTATCTTTTTGCTTTTTCTTCCCCACCATAAAAATATACCAATGTCTGTTTGGTTGTTTTCCCTTTATTTTTTTAACAGCTGAAAATTTTCAATTGAAGTGTCCTCCAAACCAGATACTTTCTTCCAAATACACATATATTTTTGCAAGCACATTCAATACTGTGAAAATACATAACTACAATTTATTGACAGTGACAACTTAAATTGACTGGTGGGTGGTTTTTGAGGCTTCTTTTCCCAAGCATGTATTTTGAAAAGACTCAGTAACTGTATTATCTTGTTGCCAATAAGCAGGACTTGCGCAGAAACCAGAAGAGGATAGCAGAGCTGAATGCCACAATCCGGAAGCTGGAGGACAGGAATACGTTGCTTGTGGATGAACGAAATGAACTGGTGTGTAGGCTTTGTACTGTCAGACAGAGGAGTTTGGGAGTCACAGGGAAAGGCAAAGAGAGGAGGATCCAAAGATGACAGGCAGTGATGAATATGCCTTTTCCATCCATCAGGGGGCTGAGGATGACCTTTTTAATCCTAGATTTAAACAGTCATTTCATTGAAGTGATATGAGTAAAAAGTCCCAATAAAAGTTGAGGCAGAGAGATTTGTAGGTGTGTGTATGAACACTTATGTTCCCTCCTTGACCTTTTGAGCATACAACAGTGTATGGTGGGGCTTAGCCTGTAACTGAAGTAATGTTTATATCCAATATTTGACCAGGCTGAGAATAGTGAAGGGATCTAGCGAGACTGGACAGTGGTGAATTGATCCCTGTATCTGACTTAATCCTAAGTGGTGATATGTCTGTGTTGAAGTCAGCATCCTGGCTGATTAAATGTTGTGTGATTTATTGATTAAAACAAAGTTCATATGCACAAATATTTCACTGTGTGGCATTAAAACCCAGAGTTACAACTATGTTGTTATTGCTGTGATCCAGACTGAGTAGATACCTATGCAAATCTATCTTTCAGTGAGAAAATCAGTGAGTTTCTTGCAGATGAAGCACAGGTCATTTCAGACTTTTGTAGCAGCTTTGCCTGACTATGTTGGGTTGCTTCATTTCCAAGTCTCAGTTTCTTGTTGATAAAGCCATCTTTTGGAAATAAATATGCAGAATTATATTTTGAGGTATATAGATAAAGCTTTGTAGGCTGTAAACATCAGTTCCACTAGATCACTTTGGTGTTTTACTGGGACATTAGTTCGATAGGGAAGAAATACAAGTACTTCTAACAAAGGAGTGAGAAAAAAGTCTTTTATTTGGATTATTTATGATTATTAATTGCTATTATCAATACAGCTGAAGCGTGTCCGAGAAGCTGAGAAACAATGTAAACCTCTTCTGGAAAAGAACAAGTGCCTCACAAAGAGAAATGATGAACTTATGCAGTCTTTGCAGCGTATGGAAGATAAACTCAAAGCAGTTACTAAAGAAAATATAGAAATGGTTGGTATTGAAGAGCAAAGTGAGGATTGCTGTAGATCTATGTCTGTTATGGTAGCCACATCTGCATAGTGTATGAATGTATATATGTACAAAAAAAGTGTTGTATATCATGTGTAATACTACTGATAAGATATAACCATGCTTATGTCTCTATATAATAGATACATACTGTAACATTGTGTATTATGTACAATATACTTAAGTGAATGCATAATATGTGAATGTAGGATCTTTACTACAATCTCCAAGATTAGAATATTGAATTTCAATTCTTTAAAAAAAAAAAAAATTGTATCAGAATCATATCACACTCTACTGTTTGGCATCTAGGACTCAAAAAGAAGCTATTAAGAGTGATGTTTCCAGCCAGTGCGATGTTCATCTTTGAATATACATGTTCTTGTTATTGCTGATGATGGTGAAGTCCTGGTCTGCCACTGAGCGCATACAGTATTCCCATAAAACATAAACATGGTAGATGGGTATGGGAAAGGATAATTGTGGTATTCTAAATTTGTCTAGGGTTATCAGTTTCACATCCGGGCTATATTAAATGGGGTCAAAGCAGTTATGCCTGTGTCCTTCAAATGATATTTCCCTGAGTATCAGTCAGAATCCACTCCCTACACATGCACTGAGGTTGCTTTGGCATTAATAAAAACAGGAGGTGGAAGTTCTGGGTTGCCAGATGTAAGATGGCAGGCTGAGACAACTTCCCCTAAGTGTGTTTTTGTTCCTTGTCTCTGGCTTGCACCAGCACGGTCATGAGCAGGCTGACTTCTGCAATGGATGCAGGTTTCCTGCGGTTAGGATGAGAGGATCAGATTCACTTTCTTGAAAAAAAGGCTTTAGTGTTACAAGGTTAAGCCCCTTTAAGACTCTGCAGTTCAGGTGTCACAGGTCAGAATTGTTCTTCCACAGCTATGGTAGTAGAGATCACAGCCCCTTGGGCTGTCCCACAACAGAGAGAAGGGACCTGGCAATCTGCATGCATTAGACATCAGCAGTCACGTGTGTGCACACAGCACATATGTTCTAACTTAGCTCCCTAAGATCTACTTTTTACACTATAGATGCCCAAATAATGGAAGCTAGCATGCTGTGGGTGGATAGAGCAATTCTCATGAGCTGTAGCCATCTCTTATCCCAGTTAGGATGTGGATTTCTAGTTAAAACTGATGCGGTACCACAGTTTTTTGCCTTTCCTCTTCTTCCTACTGCTTAGATGTCTTCCATGTGACTAAAGCATGTCCCTCTCATCAGTGTGTATGGCCATGGGATGGGTCATGGGGTCACAGGAGTAGATACTGTTTTGCACACTCACCAAACAGGTAGGGAGTTCAGCTGAATTTGCCATATGTTAGGGCATCTTGATACATGGCAAAGGAAGAGCTATGGGTAAGGGCTGCGGTAGAGGCTACCTTGCCACACAATAAGTAAATAGGTAAAGCTTTGTTTTTCTGGTTGAATAACTCAACCTTCCTGTGCTGCTCTATTGCTAAGAACTGCTGGCAGGTATAAATAAAGTTATAAAAATGGTTTCTGAGGGATATTTAGAGGCTGCACAGCTTAAATGTCTAATTTTTAGCTGAAGATGGACTTTAAATTGCTGGATCTTACTTTATCTGTTTCTCTTCCTACCACAGAGAGAAAAAATTACATCACATCCTCCTCTAAAGAAATTAAGATCTCTCAATGACCTGGATCAGGCTAATGAGGAACAGGAAACTGAATTCTTAAAGCTTCAGGTCATAGAACAACAGAACATCATTGATGAGCTAACGAGGGTACGTCCAGATCACCAGGAAATTAGGAACAATTCCGATGTACAGTTCACCACTGATAGTATTTATTCTTATAACTAGAGATCCAAGGGTTAATATCTTATTTTTAACACCTGCAGATTTTTAGATGTAGGTGTGCAAGGGAGCAGTTTAATTGAATTTCTAGTGGGGCATCAGCCCCTACAACTCAAAAGTATAACTTGTGTGGGAGCTGAGCTCTAGAAATGAACACAGACTAAGAACTGTGGAGCTTGGGAAGGTACCTACATGCTCACAAGGCTGTTTTGTTTTACTGCTCTACCATTCAAAAGTTTCCATAACAAGAGGCAGGCGCACAGTGTGATGCCATGTGCTGTAAAAGAGTGTGCTGCTTGATGGTGGTTCACTCATTCTTCTGTCATTTAATACTGACAATCCCTTTTTCAGCTGACTCTGTATTATGATGTTGAGGATAAGGAGAAAGAGACTCCAAAACACGCTGTTGCCTTTTCTAAGAGGTCATTGCTAGGAGGGGTGAGATCAACACTACCATCATGTAACAACTTTGAAACAGGCAGCATCTCCTTTCCAGGGAAGGTGGACAACCTCTCACATAAAGCCCAAACCAGGCCCCTGCAACAGACTTCCCCGTGATTTTAACAGGAAATCCATCAGTGCCTGGCATTCAACATCCTGTCAAGGCAACTGCACAACAAGGGGTTTTCTGCAGATATCCCATCTTCCTCAAGTGGTTTTCAGCTGACATGCATAGAGATTTGGATATGAATCCTCCCACCTGGAATCAGATTGCTGTTTGAATGTATGAACAGAGAGTTGGTGAAAGCCCAGTGATTTATTTCCTCTGTAGATTTGGCCTTCTAAAGCTGCAAGCAAGATGAGAGTAACTTTTTAATTTTATTTTCCAGGACAGGGAGAAGCTCATACGTCGCAGAAAGCATAAAAGAAGCTCAAAGCCAATTAAGGTAAGGAAAACGGTTTTTGGTTTATAAAAATACTAGTAGGCTCTGTAGGAAACACGCTTTAGCAATCTGATTAAAGAGAGCTTTGTGGATTATAACAATCTGCTTTAGTGATCAGGTTTATAAACACCTTACACTTTGGAAGAGCTTTTTAACTCCACTTTGAAATTCAGTTAAGGGCATGTAGCTATTTTATTTCCAGTAAAATGGGGCTTTCCCCCACTCCCTCTGAAATAGTAATAATCTTCTTTCCATCTGGTTTCTATAACTACTGATCTCAATGTCTCTTATGCTGTGGTGTATTTACATTTCCAGAGGCCCTCCCATCTATCTTTTGCTATCTATTTTTCATAGCACATATGGGCTAAAGTAAAATCCTTGTGCATCTTTATTCTTCAAGTGGAAGTTTTTAAATTGAGTGCCATTCTCTCCTGCTCAGTTCCACAGGCGTCTGGCTACTCCATGTATTACCCTGAACTGGGTCAAGTCCAAAGCTGGTGCTGAGTAGTCAGTAGCATTTCAAATAGTTCCTTTATAAGCTAGATGTGAAGAATGACTTTGTAACAGCCATGTCCTACCTTCAGAAAATGGAAATGCTGTGTAGGAAACAGAGCTTAGTTGCAATTTGTCCCTCAAGCACATCCCTCAGTATGTCAGCCATGTTCTGTGAAAGTAACACAAGACTATCCTACATACAAGAGAATTTCAGTGTCATCACATTGTTTCTGTGTGGGTTTTGAAGCAAGACACAGCAGGCATAGCTGGCAGACAAGGACTACAAAATATTTTAATCAGTCAACTTTATTTCTAAGCCAGAGATTATAACATGGGAGAATATGGGTATTGTCTTCTGTAATAATGAACAACAAAAAATAATGAACAACATAAAAAGATAATATATGCAAAAGGTTACTGGCATCTTTGGTACATGGTTTTTGTATGATTAAAATTCCAGGTTTAGAAGGCTGCAACCTGTAAGCAAAAGTGAAAAATGCTGCAAAGCAGAAGTGCATCTTAAGTGCCCATTGATCAGTTTGTCTGCAGAATTATTCATAAACCAAGTATTTAAATGCTGAAATGTGTGCCCTGGAGCTAAGCCAGCAGGGCCAAGCATCTATAACTTCATAGGACATACAGCTTTCATTTGATTTAATTCTGTTACTGAGATAGGTGTCAGACATTTAACCAAAGCGTGTAGTGTGAGCAATCTCTTGCAACATGAGATTGTAACTGAGTTACTGTAGTACTGGAAAGATGTGTGAGATAAAAGTTACTTCATGCTAGTTTGTATTAGCACAGTTTTCACTTACTCCAACAGCAGTATCAGTGAGAAAAGCTGAGATATTAAAAATATCAGCAGTTTGAGAGAAAAAGGAGGGTTCCCTATTCTACATGCGTTTCCATGCTGTTATGGTGTTGTCTTTGCCCACCAGTGTGCATGTTGATAGATGTCTTCTGAACAGCTTTTGTGTTAACAAACAATTCTCATCCCTTCCTGCAAGAGCAGAGACTTTTCCTTTAGCATGGTGCTGCTCCCATTATGTTTTCCAAGTTCTAGACTGAGCCAGGTCCTCAGCTCAGTAAAAATTACTCAGCAAACTCATTCTCCACCAGTGCAAGACCTAATCTTCCATATGGTTCTTTTGGGGTTGGTTTGGAGATGGTAGTTGCAGGGGTAACCCATCACTCATTTTTATGTCTTGTCTTTAAGTAACCAGCAATTTGATTTTAGACCGACCTTTTCACCCCATCAGAAACTCGTGTTTCCAATGAGATTCAGAAATCATGTTTTCCCTCCTTTAGAGACATGTGGTGGATACAGTTTTTGGGTATGATGATGATTCCATGGACTCTGAAACATCCTCTGTGGCCTCATATAGAACAGACAGAACACCAGCAACCCCAGATGATGATTTAGATGAGGTAAGAGCTGGCTCTTTCCATAGGCAAGGAGAGATTTTCAGGAGACTTTGACTTCCAAAAGTGGTTGGGCTCTCAAAACACTGAGGTTTTTATAGTGTGTACTGAGTGCTAAGTTCTTCATTAGGTTTGGCCTCAATTTTGTTTACTGATACACAAAAATGCTGAGAGGTTCTTTCAAAATCTAGTCCACAGAATCTACAGTATGACTTCATTGCAATCTGACATGATTTGTTTTCCTCTCTCCTTCAAGAAAATAAACCTATCACATTTCTTTTAGCTTAAAGACATAAATTCTGTGTAAACCCCACATTATTACTTCATGTTACAGTAAACTCACCAAAAAAAAGCTGTTTGAATCACAACTTGTAAACGAGTTATTGTGCTTAACAAATCACGCTTGCATTCTTTGCTTTAGCAGTGCTCTAATGTCTGGTGCTTAAATGTGTCCTTTCTTATCCTTCAGGGTTTAGCAGCGGAAGAATCAGAGCTGCGGTTTCGACAGCTGACAAAGGAATATCAGGCCCTGCAGAGAGCGTATGCACTACTGCAGGAGCAGACGGGGGGCATCATAGATGCTGAAAGAGAAGCCAAGGTCAGTATCTGAGAGTAAAAGCATTTGATTCCTGTCAGGACATACATGCAACATCCATACAACTGACAGTTGTCCATTTCACTCATTTGTTGAGTACATTTAAAGAGAGTGACTGTTAAGAATGGACACAATGACTCAGTTTACATGGGACTGTTCTCCACCTGAACCTGGAAACTGCAGTTAGGCAGGCATGCCAAAACAGGCAGTTTGGCACTGGGTCACAAGGGTATTCTCATCTTTTGCCCTGGTGTGAAGGGGTTTGGTTTTCCAGCTTAATGGAGCCCTGTGGGCTTTCAGATAGTCACCTGAATGTTTCTAACAAAGAAATAAATCACATTCAAATTTGAATGCGATGCAGACTACTGTAAATCTTCCAAGTCTAAAAATGTTGTCCCTCTAATAAAATCATAGAATCATTCAGACCTTGGGCAGTCTGCAGCCCAAAACCCTGCTAAAAGCTGTGTCAGCTGTGAGATGGCATCAGGTTGTTCAGCATGTTGGTGAGTTGACTCTTGAAGCGGCCCCAGGCAGTTACAGTTGCTTCTTTCCATTACCTTTGTCCTGCTCCTATCCTGCTAAGCACTTTTCTTCAGTTCAGGGACTGCCCCTTACAAGGGTCTTTGAGCAAAGCCTGTCACTCCAGATACCTAAGCTTGTGTTTCACTACTGTAATGCAATACACGGTAGTAACAGGCTTGGGTTGGGAGGGGAGCTGATCTGACACTGTTTCCTTGTGTCATCTGTACCCCAGGCTGTGGGGTGGCACAAAACACTGCTGAGCTAGAGTCTCTGTAGCAGTTAACTCAGTCAGTGGAAGCAACAGCATGAACCAAGACCCTGCTGTGTTTGATTTTCTTTTAATACCAGTCACATTGCTGGTTTTGTATTATTTAATGCTGTGCCTGACTTCAACAGGCTCAGGAGCAGCTCCAAGCTGAAGTCCAGAGGTATAAAGCTAAAATAGAAGATCTGGAGAAAACTTTAGCACAGAAAGGGCAGGTAAGCACTTCTTGTGTGTATTTTCTTTTCCTACTTCGGATCTTACCTGCTCTGCTCACAAAATAACTGGCACAATTTCAGCAGATTTGCAGGAGATGTAATGTTGCTGTTCAGTAAACAGGCAGGTCTAATGAGTTCAAAAGCCTTAGTACAGCTTGGTAGAACAATATGTTGTTCTGTAAATGGCAGTTCATTCCTCTAGGGTTTTAAAGCCTGAATATTGCGGCTCCAATTTTCAGTGCACACATGCTCAACCTCATGGAGTCTGATTATTTTGTAATAGTACTGCTTCATCCAACAGGACTCGCACTGGGTGGAGGACAAACAGCTTTTCATTAAAAGAAACCAAGAGCTTTTAGACAAGGTATGTTCTCAAGTTTTGTGTGTTCACTTTGAAATGTAATCTGGATCCTGCAATACACTTTTTGGACATGCAGTGTGGTGCTTATATGTGTAGTATAAGGACAGAACAGCATAGATTAATATTGACAGGATGACATATAGAAAGATGAGCCCTCTTCAGCTTTACTTAGGCACCCTCATGGCTGGCAGTTGCTGATGCACCAACTCTGCCGGTAAGCATCAGCCTGAGGGCTGGAAGCTCTATTCAGTTTTTGAATCAGAGGTGCAGACCTTTGTGTTCCAGTAGCATTGCACTAATGATTCTGCTGCTGCCCTGGCAGGATGTTTTGAGCTTAGCTTCTGGTGTGAAACAGCAGTAAAAGTGCAGTCACCCTCTAACACCAGGACCCTTTCATAGGCCTAGTCCTTGTGCATCATCTATATTTGTAAGGCCTTAAAGTCATCCTAAGTCTAATGGAACTTGTATGGCTCAGCCCCTTGGTGCATTTAGGAATATTGTCTGGTTTTGTGTGAGTGTGTGTATTTGTATGTATATATATATATTTATATGTATATATATTTGTATGTATGTATATTCTATAATAATAGAATATATGGATATGAGGGACCTCAACATTGCTTGCGTATCACCAAGAGTAACAGCAGTGGCAATACATATGACTGCCATCAGCAAGAGGCCAGAGCTGCCAGCACCAGGTCTCCTGCTGGCTTTCACCTCCCCAGATGAGATTTCTTTGCTTGTACTCATCCTCTTCCATAAACACCCTTAATAATCTTTCAGCCCTGGGCTGTTCTTGCCCATCCACAAACTGACACATGAGGGCACATTTGACCTGGGTCTTAGCATGCTCCCTAGCTTTTGTCTAAGGCCCTACTCAGGCAACCTGATTGCAAAATACATGTTTTGGCACTAGTTGGACACTTGCAAAAGAGCAGGCTGAGGAGCTAGTGGTAGATTTGTCCACAACAAGCAAGCTATAGACAGTTGGTGAATGGCTGGTATTTAAGTTCATCTGCTAACAGAACTCCTTGTGTGGAGATGCTTGCTGTGCAGTTCACATGAGCACTTGCATGGGGAGGGATGACTGCTCAGGTAGCTGCCTCCACAGAGACAGCTCTCCCTGCATGCCATCTGTGCTTCAGGTGCTACACACTGGGAATGTCTGATCTAGCCCGAGTTCTCCAAGGTAGGTGTAACTGTTTCTGTGTCATTTCTGAGAGATATTTATCCATCATCTTCCCATAGCCCCTCAATAATGATGTCTCCACATCCCTCCCCAAACAATCTAGTGTTTTGCCATGAAAGCAGTGTGCTTAACAGCTGATGCAGATTAATCTGATAGCTAACCTGACACCTCTGTACAGTTAACTTCCTTGCTGATCTTCACTAGGATTAGATCCTTTTAGGAAAATCTCCAGCCTAAGCATTTTATGATGTTTAGGAAGTTGATGAGCAGAAGTTCACCTGTAAACTAGAGATTCACTGAGGTAAAACAGCAAGTAGTGAGTCATCTCTAGAGTTTGGATTTTGCACTGCCTATGCTACCTCAGCTACCACTCACCAAATGTTCAATGTTCCTTATAACAATCACACAGATCCTGAACTTACATGTTTCTATTAGATAGAGAAACTGGAAGGAGAAAACAACCGGCTGCAACAGGAGCTTCAGGATGCCCGAGACCAGAATGAGCTGCTGGAGTTCCGCAACCTTGAGCTGGAGGTGATGGATGAGCTCATTACAGTAGAGCTGGTAGCAAGTTGAACTACTGCACTTGCACGGGACACCAGTTTTAACCAAATGTTTACACAAGCATTGTAGTGATACCTCAGAGTAACAAATCAGGACCAGCATTTTTAATTGTGAGCTGAAGTATGCCAGCTGTAATATCTTGGAAACCTCTGAGTGAGGTGCCCAGTGTGCATAGATAAGCTTAGCTGATTAATGTCAGTGTGGCTCTTAGTTACCACACCTGCAGATACAGCTTTGCTAGCACTTTGGAGCAGTCTCTTTGTTCTTATTGCTGGCCTGAAGTCTACTGAAATGAACAGAAATTAATTACATGTGAATTAACTAAGCAAGTGTTAAACCCCATCCTCACGAGCCTTGCTCAGGGCTGTATCCTGGTTCACAGCTAAGATCTCTCCCATGAGTAGGTACCCAGGGTTTTGTGTGGAATTGTTGATTGGTTGCTTTAGGGGGGCTCTTTTTTGTTTTATTTTTGTTTTCATGAACCTGAGCAGGTCTTGGAGGAGGAAGAAATGTTGAGTGTACTTTTCTCTCTAATACCTGAAGAGTGTTCCTCTGAGAAGTCAGAGATGCAGGTGCAGTTCCTTCCTCAGGGTCCCCGCTTCCCCCCTGTGAAAATCTTACTGCTGATCTGTAAATTATACAGGCTTTGTTCATTTCCCTTCTTTCAGCAAGGGTGATGAGACCAGTTCAGGTTTCATTAAGAGTGCTGCTGTGAGAAGTGCACCCCTCCAGCCTTTGCTCGAAGGAGGGGAACTGTTTGAAGTTCAGTTCAGCAACGATCGATGAAATTGTGTAAGCAGTTGTAAGAGAAAGTGTCAGACCCAGGGCTGTTGTCTGATGGGGGTGAAAGGGTTGTACCTTGTCCCCTCTGACCCAGAGAATTTTGAAGTCTTTTCACTGTGGGAGCTTGGCTGTGAGAGGTGCCAGGGCCTGTCCTCCCCAGAGCGATGTGTACCCGGTGGTTAGAGCACTCTTCATTGCCTTCACGTCAGATGCCATGGGGAAGAGATGAAGCCAGGCCCACGGCAGCCTGCAGGGAGCTCCTCCTGGTGCTGCTGGAGCTGCTGCCCTGCTGTGAGACCTGGGCGCAGCGGGCGTGCAGAGCCGAGGTGCCCAAGGGACAAGGCTGTGCAATGGCCCCTGTGCTGTTGACTCCTGAGGCACACGTAGATCTGATCTCTCTGTACCTCAGTTCCCTGCCACTGTGCTGAGGATAAGAGATGTTTTATACAGGTGAATGTGGTCTTTATCATCATTCTTGTCAATGCTGGCACGTGGGAAAAGCCAGCAGTGCCTGCCTATGGGCACACAGTGCTTGGCCTAGAGCTCTCCTCATTTGTGTCTAGAGGCTGTAGGCCCTCACACGACGACCCAGTGGCGCCTGTCTGCCCACTTGCGAGCACTGTCACTGCCAGCTCTGGACACGTTCCTTGTTGAGCAGCTCTCCTCATGACCTGCAATAGGGAAGAAAGGCCCCTCAGGTGACTCTGGAGATTAACGGAGGAGCTACAGAAGCCTCTGCAGGTGGCCAGAGGACTGTGTTAGACCTTGAGCTCCCGCTTCCTGGTCCGCCCCCTGTTATAGGAGTGCTAACAGGCACAAGCTTCCACCTACTTTTCTCCAGTATGAGCTGGTTTATTTCTCAGTTGCTCTTTGCAGTTGCTGTCCAAAGCCTTACACACTTGCCATTCAGAGCTTGAAGGTAACACAGGGCCTTTCCTGGCTCTCATGGTTCAGTACTGGGACAGATTTGTCCCTTATTTATAGAACCCAGTTTTACCTGACAGCTGTGTTCCATGACATGGAATGGGACTGGCCAAGTGAATTACATACACCAAGAATATATTTGAAATTTGATTTTCACTGCTGTGTTTGCCTGAGTACTTGAAAGGGATGAGAAATAACATCTTCCAATTTTATTTTTGTCTTTGGTCCCTTAAGACAGGACAAATATCTGTGGATTTTGTGCAATGAGGGTGTATAAACAGCTGATTCAATCAACTTCTTTGAACGTACTGCTTTCCACGGATACTGGAACACCCAGCATACCAGGACAAGCAGATGTGTAATTGGAGTATCCTAGTAGTCTTAAGTCAAATACTTGTTTCTAAAGGCAGTATTTACAACAGTATAGTTGTTCAGTACCTCACTAGGCAAGTCACTCGAGTCTTAGCAGGTGACAGCCTTTCCCCAGCCAATTTGCTAATTAATATAATTAATCAATAATCTCCTGTAAGAGAATTATCCTGAGTTCAGGATCCCATCCCACTTGGCACCCTGTTTTTCAGACTAGGTCTGAATGTTTCTTTGACTTGTAAAATGAAGAGCTTGGCTTTGCAAAGCATGATATAGTAGCTATGGCATTTAATGAGCTCTGTGTCCATCTCCTTCATTCTAATATGTTCTCTGTCATCTTTTCAATTGATTTCTAGGAAAGAGAGAGACGGTCCCCCCCATTTAATCTCCAGATTCACCCATTCTCAGATGGTGTGAGTGCTCTACAGATCTACTGCATGAAGGAAGGGGTTAAGGTAGGTCAGTTTTATAAGGCAGCACTTCTCATTACAGGAGTATAGTACAGCCCATATAACACATTATATTGATGTCTGCCAGTAACTCCAGTAAATTTTAAACATTTAAACTCAGTCTACAATGAATGTGTGCTGACTGACACAGTTGAACTGGACTCATAATTTTCACCATAATGACAAAACCTGGCTCAGAGGTAATTGAAATCAGTGTGTGAAGCATTTCCATGGGATAAAACAAAATGGTTGATTTAAACATGGATTGTAGGGGGGACAAATACTGCGGCTGTGACAAAATGTACGTTCTGTGCATTTACCTTATTCTCTTTTTGCAGGATGTCAGCATCCCAGACCTCATAAAGCAGTTAGACATCCTAGGTGATAATGGGGTAAGTTAAAGTCAGAGATATTTTCCTTTTACAAGTTGCATTTTGTACAGGAGCATAATTGAGATCTATAATTATCATGACTATTTTCTAAGATACTTGTTGAATTATGCAGCATCAGAACAATTAATTTAAGGAGTTATTATTTCCATAAGTTATGGATTTGTGAGATTTCAAAAGTCAGAAGCCTGATAACGAAGTAGCAGCTTCAGCATCTGGTTTAGCAGACTGGGAGACTGTCCAAAGGCCACTGATACTGGGAACTGGGCCTGACTGAATTCCAGTCATTCAGGAAAGCACATGAATTCATTTGGCAGTTTCAGCCAACCACTATTCATCAGGACTAGGATTCCTTTGCATACAGTTTCATAAATAGGCAAGAGTTATCGAATCCCTTATGGTTTTCTAAGTGGACATTGCTGTCTGCTTTAGTCATCTGTGTAAGAGATCATCTTGTATCTCTGGCCAATGTTAGGTATGTTTTAAGAAAGTGAATAAGAAATAAAAACGAAGGCTCATGATTGTCTGTTCATGTGCTGGTGTAAATCAGCATTATCTTTACAAAAGCATTAATGGAAATTCAGCTTTGTAAAACTAGCAGGAGGAAAGACAAATGGGTCTAATTTTAGTTTAGATTTCTCTTAAGATGCAATGGAAGGAAAACATATAGTTAGCCCATATCATGCAGGTAGGCAAAAGCAGTCTTCTTTTTAATATGTTATCAGACTGATGGTTTTATGGGATACCCAGTACTAAAGGGATCCCCTGAAAACAGTAGACCTAATGTATCACCTAGATTATCTTTATTCATGAAGGAAACTGCTGCCAATTTTCTTATTCCCTCTCTTTCCCTACTCAGAATTTGAGAAATGAAGAACAAGTGGCCATAATTCAGGCTTCCACTGTGTTGTCCTTGGCAGAAAAGGTAAACTGTGTGCTTGCTTTTCTCATTTGTCATCTAAGGCCTCATGTAACACTGGAAATTTTCTGCTCTGTTGTTGTCAATATTGTCAGACTTTCTAGTGTCAGAAGTGATTCTCCAGATGAAGTAAACTGTGCCAGCACAGTCCCAAACACCTGCTAAAGCAGCAAAACCACCAAACTCAGCTGGTCCAAGCTGTGAAGTCACAACTAATGCAAATAAAAAAGAATGTCTAATGAAACTTGCAAACGTAAACTGAATGAGAAACCATCAGACATTGAAGCTGCAATTAGTTATAGCATGGGATCTCTGGTCCTGACATTTCCAAAGCTTCTTAAGGGATCTGTATACAAAATTCCCACTGTAAGTGTATGCCTAAGTTACTTGTTTTGGAAATGAAAAAGAAAGTGAGGATTGGTTAAAATTGATTTCTGTGGCACAAAAGCAGCACACAATTTTGTCAACATGACAGCTTCCAAGGATTCTAGTCAACAATTCCTTCTCTGTAAAGAGAATGGCCATCTACCCAGCTAAGCTATTTTTAAGATAGTTTTGGAGAGGCATTGGCACAAGGTGCCCAGGGAAGTTGTGAATGCTCCATCCCTGGCAGTGTTCAAGGCCAGGTTGGACAGAGCCTTGGGTGACATGGTTTAGTGTGAGGTGTCCCTGCCCATGGCAGGGGGGTTGGAACTGGATGATCTTAAGGTCCTTTCTACCTTAACTATTCTATGATTCTATAAGATGCTAGAGCCCCATCATGGGCCCCTTTATCAGTGGGATGAAATGGGTTTCTTGTCCATCTAAGGAAGTGTGCTTTTCCATCTTCCAGCAATCTGGTAACGGTGATCCTGTTGCTGCTTCTCTGTCATGGGCTGCCTACAGACACTGTGGCTGCCCCTTTCACACAAGAACAGCCTCAGGATGGGCCTAAACTAGCAATAGGTTACTAAGAACAGACTAACAAGATACTGTAGATGTCCCACTTGCCACTGTCCATGTGCCCAAAAGACACAGCAGGCTACAGCTCTCATTTTCTTCCCTCCAGTGGATCCAGCAGATTGAGGGAGCTGAAGCTGCTCTGCATCAGAAGATGATGGAACTGGAAAGTGATATGGTAAGCAAACTTTCCACAATACACATTTTAGGGACAAGGTACTGAGTGTGTCACGTTCACTTGGTATGCCAAGAGAGAACTAAAAACGTCTTTTGGCAAATTAGGTATGTAGTCTTCCTCTGATGAGTTCATGAAGTAGTTACTGGTCTGGTTCAGAAACAGAAGTAGTGAAGGTTTGAAAACTTTCTATTCCCATGTGGATGACTGTTTAAAAGTACAGAGGGCTGGAAGGTTGCTCAGTGGTTTTTCAGAGATGAAAATGACTGCACCCTTTGTCTCATAAGATTCACAGTCTAAACGTCAGCTGTTGTATCATGTTCTATTAAACACCACTATGTGGGGAAGTAATGAATTATTACCATTTTCTTTCATTACATTTTAAGCCTATACCATCCTAAAGGTAAAACATTCACAGCTGAACGGAAGTTGCTATAGCACCAGTAAAGTTAGTATCTTGCTCTGTTCTTATTCTAGTTAACCTACAAGATAAACAAGCATAACTACAAGAGTTGGATAGCTGTAGTGGTTTATATCCTATTCCTGTGGTTTGTCTGTACTTGAGTCAATTCAGCTTAAGGTAGACTGAGAAGTTAAAGCAGAGCAGCTTCCCCCAGATAATGTGAGCATAAATATGCCTGTTTAGTTTATTACACTTTCATACTTCTTCTAGAATAAGAGAAAGCACAAAAGGAGTTGTCCATGATGCCAGAAGATGTAACTTTAGAAAAATTGTGCAGAAACCCCCCAATTACATTACTGAAATGCAAAGCAATATCACTAAAGTCAATAAAGAGATGATGTTCCATGTAGATCAGATGTATTATCATACACAAGCGGCCCACAGCTATTTTCCCTTCCTTCTTTTCCAGCTCAGATATTAATAACTCCGCAGTGTCATTTGACGACCAGTCTCTAATCCTGCCCGAGTCAGATAATTGTAGTTGATTGCATAAAAATTCTTAAAATATTTGGAGTAACTCATTATTTTTTCTGTCTACATGATCCTTCACTGTAGGAGCAGTTTTGCAAAATAAAAGGTTATTTGGAGGAAGAATTGGACTACAGGAAGCAGGCTCTTGACCAAGCATACATGGTATGTACAAAGGGAATTCTACAGCACATATTGGCCAGCGCTGTGAAAGGACACAGACTCATGCTGGATCAGCAAGAGAGTTTTTTGCTTTTTTCCTAGCTTTTTTTTTTAGTTTTTATTTTTCCCATTCTTCTAATGCTCTGCCGTGCAGTCTGTACATTCACCACGACATCTGCCTTTTTCTTGTCACAGAAAGGCAGATCTCCTGAAGTCTGAAACGTTTTTGTCAGTTAAAGGCAACTATTGCTCATTAACGTCAGCTTGTCCAGCTGGAGTCAGTGCAACCAACTGGAACTCAGATCTGGAATGAGAATGCTCCTTGATTAGCAGCATTAAGACCAAAGTAGTCTGACAGTGACCTTCAGTCTTCCCTCCTGTTTTCTGAGCACAATGGGTCAGAATTTTAGAATTGGTGATATATTCATCCTTATAGGTAGGAAAAATATGACTCCTAATATCTCTGTAACTGCTTAAAAAAAAAAAAAAGTGTAAAAGTTAGGGATTTCAGTGAAAATTATATGAAAATATTTTAAAAATAAAAGTTCATATCTTGTTGTCAAAATGCTGAACCATTTTGAATTCTGTTTTCCACATTTTTGCACACTTGAGCACAGAGCCCACCTCTTGTGCAGGTGCCTGAATCTGCCACTAAGTCCCCAATTCCCACTGTGTTTTAAACAATGCTTCATCTCTAACTGGCTTTTGGTATTGCATCAACCAGAGGATCCAGGAGCTTGAAGCCACCTTGTACAATGCTTTGCAGCAAGAAACAGTGATAAAGTTTGGGGAACTACTGACTGAAAAACAGCAGGAAGAGCTGAGGACAGCAGTAGAAAAGCTAAGACGTCAGATGCTGAGGAAAAGCAGAGAATATGATTGCCAGATTCTTCAGGAGAGGATGGAACTGCTCCAGCAGGCTCATCAGGTAAGAAAAAGGAGCCATGTACATGTGTAACTACTCAGATTCGCTGTGTAAGAACATCAGCTGAGGTGCTTTAGGCAAGCTTCAGGTCATAAGGGAGCCTGGCATCTAGTGTTTTTAGTTGACATTAATGTCCAGCGTTTGAGGATACAGTCACATGTATGCAGTAGCATGTTTTGAGCAGTTGTACACATGGTAAAGACATGGTTGAGCAAGGTTGGTGGATGGGGTCATGGTACTTCACAAGATTAACTCTGCCAGAGAAATGCATTTGTTAATTTCCAGGGTCTTGGCACTGGGAATTTGAAGTTATTTCTTCAGCAAAGCAGATTTACAGAGAATTCAGTCTAGATGCTTTCTTTTCTGATTTTTAGCGGATCCGAGATTTAGAAGATAAAACTGACATCCAGAAGAGACAAATTAAGGATCTGGAGGAAAAGGTTGGTTCTGTTACGCTTCTGAAGCATGCTAAGCAACCTTTTTGAACATGCTGACCTAGTTCTTGTGAATTACACAAGCTTTCTGTTACGCTGAATCAGCTGGATCTCTTGGTGCTATTCTACTATGCTTTCCTTTCAGTTTGTATATTCAGACTATAATCTTAGAGTCCCCTCTGCAACATTTCATTTTAGGAAATATATGCCAAGCACTTTTAATTATGGTGAATGATAAAGGCAAACAAGGAAGCCTTTACTTGGCTGTTAAATGCTGTGTTGGTAGACAGGCAATGCTTCCATCAAAGGCAAGGTGAGGCTAGCAAACAGGAAGGACTGAATAAAACCAAGTGAAAATGATTCTTATCTGGCGGGACTATAGAGCTCCGGTTCTGATGCTGTCCTTTTTACTGAAGCTTGTAATTACTATGTGACATAAACATAGCACTAGAATCTTGTCCTTAAACTGAACTGCCAAAGAACTATATATGCACATTCTTTATATGTAATACATATATACACACACTGTCAAAATACGCACTGCATTTTTTTTTTAGTGAATAAGGCCAACTCTGTCACATTGACACATTTTTCTACTTGTAGCTAGGTTAGATAGGGTTGCTGAAAAAAGGTTACAGCAGAGTGTGCTGCTACCAAAAATGTCTTTTCTAGAAATGCCAGACCAGTGTAAAATGCATCTCTGGTGGTGGCCTTGATGATGTACTTTTATTAATAAATATCAACATTCATGTGTGAAACAGAATATGAAATAATGGCTCTATTTGTATAATGGTAGCAGTGCTAACAAGCTCTTTCAGTTTGTATGTATGTTCCTAAAGTGAAACAAGTGGGCATAGTGCAAAACTTGATACACATAATTCTTTCTGCTTTTCTACCAATATTTTTGTGATATAAGGACTCTGTCTGTCTTTCTAACGTATGTAACTTGGAAAAATAACAGATGATATGTGATGAAAATAAAAAAGCAAAGCAGAGTTTATGCCATGGTCAAATGGAGACCTTGAATAGGAGACATTTTAGTGTCAATTTTCAATTCACAAAAATTCACATCTCTGAAGATAACACATTCATGATTAAAATGAGACATAAAAAAATATTATTAAACATTTAATTCTTAGGGTTTGATATTATGTGTGTGTATGTATGTGTATATATATATATGCATGTAAATATTCCTGGGCTATTTCCAGCATGGATTGATGGCAGTTTTTTAATGCACTTAAAAATACTACCCATGCTATTTTTGATATCTAGCTTTGTTGACTTAAGTCAACCCATCATAGTTCATAATGCCAGTTTTACTTCAGGCTTTCAATATGGTGCCCATTCTAATTGATCACAAAAATTAATGGGATTGGTTTTCTAAACTTGAGAGGTGGTATGGTACCTACAGAAGTAACTAGGGAAATAGTGTTTTCCGAATGCATAGTCATTCTAGTTGTCCTAGAGAGTGCAAAAGTAATTCTGATGCTTACAGTGCCATGACCTTTAGTTCTTAAACAATCTTCTTTTTCTTCTGCAGTTTCTATTTCTATTCTTGTTCTTCTCTCTTGCCTTTATTCTTTGGCCTTGATGTCAATGTGCCTCTTGGAAAGGTAAGACTATTTTCTTTATTTCCTCCAAGATGGTGCTTCTTGCATAGAGCTGAGGATCACATCCCTGTGTGCCTTTGTGTATGTCTGAAGTCAGAGAACTCAGCAGGTTGTTGTCCATTTGTGATAGTTCACAATGGAGAGTCATCACACTTCTGAGTTGCCACAGGGAGTTGCAGTCAGACCAGCACCATCCAGCACACTTCTTAACAATGGCCAATGCCATTATGTAGCTGCTGCTATTTGAAACATACTGCCTTGATCCAGTGGACATTAAACGGACTAAGTTAAGACTGCATACTTACTAATGTTCCTGCTGCAGGGTTTCTGGAAACCATAACACAGCAGAGCCTCTGTGAGATGCTGAGTGGCCATGACTGGTGAAAATTTGATTTTACAGCCTCTTGCTTATTCACTGTGGGGAAAAAGATCAGAAAGTCTGTACTCTTAAGGAGCCACAGTAACAAGTAAATTTATCTTACTGTCTTTTCCTGTAACACACAATCATGAGTCCAGAACAAGCTGCCAGCCTAAAGGGAGAGTCAGAAAAACAAAGAAAATAGGCTGCCCCGTCCCTGGCAGTGGTCAAGACCAGGCTGGACAGGGCCTGGAGCAACCTGCTCCAGTGGAAGGTGTCCCTGCCCATGGCTGAGGTTTGGAACTGGGTGATCTTTAAGGTCCCTTCCAACTCAAACCATTCTATAGCTCTGTGATTAAAACCAAACAAACTCGGATTTTAAGGTGCACCTTGAAAACTCACAGGAACTGACAGCGACGTTTGCAAGAACCTGTCTGCATGAGTGTTTGCAATTGCCTATACTGGTGTCCTTCTTTTAGTTTATACCACAGCTGTGATAAAATCCTTTTGAAGCAAATGAGAAAAACTGGGGCAATGAGAGCTTCAGGATTTCCTGTACATAAAGTTTTCACCTATATTTTCCACCTTATGGGTATGGGATTGTTTTTCTGTTGAGTATTTGCCTCTCATTCATGTGAATTTGAATTCACTCCGTGATTTTTACCATGTAGGCTTGAATGCTGAGAGAATACAGAAAAAATATGGCCTTTTTTCCCTGGTTTCAAACCTGAGAACCGTAATTCTTTTCCATATGTAGGGAAGGCTTCCTTGGAGCAGGCTATGCTCGCCTCACTGCTGCATTAGTCAAGGCTCTGGGGTTGCCCTGACACCACAAGCATACCACCCACTGTTATGTCTCCTTTCACTGGTGAATTTTAGGCATCTTTGGTTCAAGAGTTACTGAAACTGGTGCATAAATATTCATCTGAAGATGCCCATGGGGGCTTTTATGGATGAGAGGGCTGTACCTTACTGTTAGGGTTAAATGGACAGGCTTGGCAAAATACCCAGAATTTTCACAAATGCCTTTCATATGGACAAACAAAAACAGTTTAATGCTGATAACTGTAAGAACAGACCTTTTCAGCTTTGACTGATAGCTGCATCTGGTCAAGGGTGGGGAGGTGGAGGAACTTCTCACTTATCTGATACAGATGTTCTTTATTTTATTTTATTTTCAGAGTGCCCGACCACAGCTCAGTCCTTATAAAGGCAAATGCTTCCACCCCCTGATGAAGAGAACATTGTTTACACCTATTTTAAGAATTATAACATTGAACAACCTGTAGCCAAGACTGCAACCACCTTGTATTTTAAAGCCATCACTCAAGATTTGTTACTTGACAGTTCCTGTCTAAAGCTATGATATATGCTGCATCTAATGAAATTCTACATGTTGAAATCGGAAAAGGGGAAGAAAAATAAACTGTGAACCTACATCACTTAGGAAGAACTTAATGGGAAGGAACCGCTTTCAGCTGATCAAGTCAGTGTGTCATGGGCATGGAACCAAAGTTACAACAGAAAAACCTATCCCTGCTGTGCAGGGCAATCATTTAAATGTGAGAACGCCATACCACAAACAGATCAAAAGTTGACAGGGCAGAAGAAGCATGAGCCATGGAGAGTTGCTGACAACAAAGCGCTCAGTGTGAACTGTCTGGCTTTCTCACTGTAGGGACTCCTCCTCTCTTTGGTTTTAACCTCAGGAACAAACGACGGCTGCGATGTGGGGGAAAAAAGGAAAAATGCAGTGTGTTTTAACAGAGGATGGGCAGGACAGGGCACCACAGTTTGCGCTTGAGACCATAAAAGAGCATCACCCTACTCAGCAAAGGAAAGGAAGAAGAGGGTGTCTGGCATAAGAAGGATCTCTGATGGAGTTCCAGCCTTATCTCTCTTCACTCTCCCTCCAGGAAGAACAGCCTGTCTGTTGTCAGACACTTTTCATACTCTGTTTAGAGACTGCCATTGAGATAATAATGACTGTACTTGGTTTTCCTATTTGAATAATACACTGAGGATCACTGGATTGGACCTGCAGAGTAGCTTCTGAGAAAGAAAAGTAGTTTTGGAGGGTGGAAGAGGGAAAAGCCAACTCCCTTGTCCATGTGGTACAATCCACAGTGCAGCAGCTTCCAACTGTGTTGTCCCAGCTTGGAACAAATGTTTTGGTTTAGCTTGTCAAACTGATTTTGATAGCTGGCTTCCTGATCAGTGACACATAAACCAAAACTGGGGACAAGCTGTGTGAACACATCTTATTAGAAGTCAGAAGTATCGCTAGTCTTTATAGATTTTTCCACAGCTAAGGATCACTGAGTAGCTTGCATTTCAAAGCATTACTTCCCCTTCTAACCACAAAGCTTGGAACCCAGTCCTGGTGTCTCCCAGAGGTCTCACAGGTCCATGCTGTGCAGTCAGGAGCATCACACATGCAGCCAGCATGGTGAGGTCCTGTGCCCCACGAGCACTGCTGTGCTGAATGGGAAGTACTGGACAGGGCACTTCTCTATGCCAATGTTTCCATCGCCCTGCAAATGGAGTCGTGCCTGTTTAAACTTTGGGTTCCTGTGGCAGGGCTCCTTTTTAAGTTGTCTTCCACGATGGAGCCTTACTTTTTACACTGAGAGAAATGGATGTCTGTATTACAAAGTAGAAAACTGAGGGCCAGAATACAGCCTGCGCATTACTTAAACCTTCAAAATAGGCCTCAAGTGTACCAACACTTTACGCACATACCAGAAGCTTTAAAAGTGCTTTTATAAAGAGTCTGTCCTTTGTTTGCTTGTTTATTTTTACAGATGAAGCAACTGAGGCACAAAGCAGTGAAGTAACTTGCCACAGCAACTTCAGCAGGTCAGAAGCAGTTCCTCAGCCACAGCAGAGATGAAGTTCCTCTAGTGTTGAGGGGTGCCTGCTCCTTGCAGGTATTTTTTGGCCAGAATAGCTTCTATTCATTAATGTTCATTCACCCAATTGGATTGCAATGCTGGGCTCCATTTCTCCACAAAGACTCTTACCATCCTCATTTCTTGCATGCCCTGAGATTGAGTTAAGCCTTCCATCAAACATTAGAAGCTATTTAGCAAGTGAGTTTTTCCTGCTCCTTAAAATTAATTTGAATTACAGAATGACCACATCTTCCTTATGCAGTCTGTTTCAGCCAAGGTGTTCACTGAATTCTTCACCAGCTGTATGTTGGTTGGTCCATTTTTTTAAGACAGGCTTTTAGGCAGGTATGTTCAATGAATATAGGTATGTTGCATGCTCTTTGTTCAAACTCCCCTGGAAGAATCTGTGGTTAAAGTTGTCCCAAACCTACATGTGCTTTCCAAGAGTGCTGCTAGCAGTTCAGTCCCGAAGCTCTGGAGTCAGCCCCTTTGGGAGTCTCATCCACACACGTGACACCTTTAGATCACTGAGCAACTTCACAACATCTTATTAGCTACAAACAGGAGTTTCCTCTCTGGTTATTCCCTCTAGCACCTCTCACTGTTTATTTTCCCCTGTTGCAGTCCATTGTTCCAGTTGGCTGCAGTGTCCTGCAAGGTGAAACAGGCTGTGGAAGTTCTTTGCCCTAGCATTAGGGCCGGCAATTAAACCATTGAACTCTTCCTGTAGAATGAGCAGCACCTGTTTTCTGTGACAGAGCAAAAGCTTCCACCTCTGCTTGGTTAAAAAAGAACAAAACAAACGGAGGATTAGAAAAGTTTGTTTCAGGCATTCATGGGGAAGGGTCCTGGCAGATAGAAATCCTGTGTTTCCTGACACAGTGAATGATCTTGCGGCAGGCTTCATCAGTTAGACCCTCTGAACCATGCTCTGCGCATCTTCGGTTATCTGTTTTTGCCTAATTTCCTGCAGGTGCTATGTTCCAAGGGCTCTGGGTGGCTGGGAGTGGTATCAGTCCACAGCTTATCTTGGTCTGCAGACTTGTAAATGATTGTTTCCGCCAGAGAGCCTTGAAGCTGCTTTGCTCTGCTTGCGGGGTAACACAAGCCATGCCTAAAACACACTTGCTGATACGAGTAATACAAACCGTCTGCTATCAGCTAGATCAAAATGGGTTTGATGGGTTTGTGTATATATATACATGTATCTATATACAATATATATGTATATGTACATATATATACATACATATGCATTTATTCCCTATTGTATATAGTAAATCATTGATATAGCTTATGGAAGTGTACTTCCAATCTAGGTATGGGGAACTGAATCTAGACTCATTTAGCTGCTACAACTGGTGCACTCCTCATGGTTTAGTTTTACAGCTCATGGGCAACTTGGTTTGGATCTTTTTCTGAGATCTCACCCCTTCACTGTCCTGAACCTGTTTATCCAGGGCTTTCTGCTGCTCCTGATATTCACTGAGGCAAAGTATTGAGAATCCTCCCTGAAATCGCTCACTGCAGTCAGCCCTCCCCAAACCAGCCAACAAAATTAAAACCAATTTATTGCAGCTTTTGAGGACAGCAAATGGAGCCCTGGATTCCTCCCCCAGCCCCTATCCATCCATCCTGGCCTGTGGCAGGAGTTACTCCAGGCTATCCATGTGGTCACAGGAGCCATGTAGTGCAAGTCAGCTTGACCAAAATCTGAGTTGCTGCTTTTTCTCCACTGACTAAGGAGATTTTGAAGACTCTTATTTCAACTTTAAGCATTCCAGATGAGAGCCCAGTCAGGTGAGATGGATTTAGGCACTGCAGGTCACAGGAGGCTTCTTGCACCGTGACCAGCCTGGCTCCCAGCTCCAATCCTCTCTTACTGACATGCCAGGACAACCATGGAGACTTTTTTGTAGGTGTTCCCCATTTGCCAGCTCCCTGCCCTCATCTGCGTAGGAAACACCCTCTGCCCCCCCGAAGCTTCCTGGGCAGGCCAGGCTCTCCTCCTCCCTTGGGCAGGGCTCAGGAGCAGCCACGCAGCTCCTGCCGATTCCAAACGTTTTTCCTTCCGTCCCATCAGCACCCAGGTGTTTTTTATGTACTTTTTGTCCACAATTTTTTGGTGTCTGTTCAGAACAGAATTGTAAATGACTTGGCAGAATGACCCTTTGATAAACACTGGACATGTATCTGTACTATATGTATTAACGTGTAGAAGAGAATCCTCATTGTATGTAAAGTTTTATGAATGGTTATTTTTTAATTTATGTATTTAATATAGGATTCAATGACCTCTGGTGTTTTAGTTTGTACAAAGAATAAAACAGCAGCGTTTTTACAAAACAAAATGCCACTTTACACTCTCGGAGCTCCCGGTGTCCGCCTCCTCTGTCCCGGGTACCGCTGGGAGCGGGGCGCGGCTGCGGGGCTGGGCCGCCACACGCGAAAGCGGACGCGCGGGGTGTGCGCTGCGAGGGGAGAGGGCAGCGGGAGAGGAGCGGGCGCCGTGGGTCAGTGCGAGGGGCGCAGGGAGCCCCTCCCGCAACACCGGGAACCCTCAGAGCGGCCCCGGCCGGGAGCGCTGCGGGCTCCGCCGCCCGTCACCAGCGGCGCAGAGACGAACCCCGGCGGCGGTACCGCGGTGGCTGCACAAGGGCCGCAGCAGGAACGCGTTGTGGGCGGAGCTTGCCCTGCAGGGGCGGGGCGGGGCGGGGGCTGTTGCCGGCTCCAAGCGGTGCCGCCGCCGGCCGCCAGGGGGCAGCGCCGCCCGCCGCCGCTCGCTCGCCGTGCAACGCAACCGCATCGAGCGGGTCCCAGAGAGGAAAATTCAGGTTAGGTTCAGATCGCTGCTGCTCACGCGTTCGGAGGCGTTCATCTCCACCCCCTGCACGGTAGCCTTCCAGTACTGAGTGAGGCAGAGGACGTGAGCCGAGCACCTCACTGCCTTTGGCCAGAAACCACGGAAGGGGCATTTAATACTAAACCCCACTAATTCAGCCTTAAGTCAAAGGAACAGATACGGATGTTAAACAGATGTGTGCTACAGGCCCCTTGGAGTGAGCTTATCTGGTGTGGGAGCGAAGCCGTCATGGGCACGGCTGGAATGCCCGCAGGTGTCTTGAGGTGGGTGATGCTCAAGGGACAGGGGCAGGAACAGGAACACACACAGCAGATTGGCTGTGGGTGTCCCGGCTGTGCTGCTCCACCGCTGCTCTAGTACCGGAGCATCCCGGGCTGTCCCCAGGGCACCGCTGGACGCTGTTCGCCCGTGGTGGAAGCGTTCTGTCCACTGCTTCTGTAGGCGTCCTGTGGACAGTGTCACTGGTGAACGGGCAGGGTGCAGCGGGACAGAACGGGCTGCATTTGTGTCATTGCTCACACACGAGGGGCCCCAGTCACTCACCTGGTTGTGGGCTGTGCTGACCCTGAGGCAAAGATCCTCATCACTGCCTCTTTCTGGCAGCTGTGTCTGGGTAATGGTTGGCTCACCTGTGAGCATTTCAGATGTGAGCTCACAGCTGAAACCCATCAGTGGTGTCCAACGGGCAGAAAAGGAGCTCAGTGCCACAAGACCCCATGTGAGTGTCGCACCTCCCTGAGAAGGGCAGCTCTGCTTCACTGGGCTTTTTCACCTGAAACCCCAGTGGGATGGAGGCTGGATGTGGGTGCTGCAGACGTTCTGCAGACCCTGCTTCCCACAGGATGTCTGTGAGCAGCCTCCTGCTGTTGTGTGGCAGCGGCAGCATAGCTGGGTCAGGCTTTGCAGAGCTTTGCTGGGTAAGGCAGTGGAGTGCAGCCATGTCCCCTGTATGGGATGAAGGGGGATGAGGCTGTTGCTGTGCGCCATGCAGCTCTCGGACGAGGACACTGGGGCTGACACGCTACTCTTGAAAACTGGTACTAAAATGACTGCTTTATTTCAGGCAGGGTGCTGCTTACAGCACCCACATCAGGAGGGGCACAGGAAAGCTGCAGTGTAAGTGCCGAGCCTGGGCTGCTGCTGGTGTAAGCCTGGAGATCTTTGCTGGAGGAATGAAGAACCAGTGCAATGAAACTGGCATCCTGAACTGATACAACTCAGAAAGGTAAGCCCTGGCGGCAGCATATCTTAGGTCTGATTTTGCCCTTTCCTGCGCGTGCATATACAATGGTAGCCAGAATCAGGCTGCAGTTGTTTGGGCAGCCCTTGAGTGAGGGCTGTCCGTTTTGCCCAGTGTTTTAGCATTGAACAGGGCTGAGCTGTGCATCTGTCAGGGGCAGGCATGGCCAGCACTCATGGCTTGTGTGGAAAGAAGTTTTACTGCATTTTAAAAGGTTCCTGTGTTGTCTCTGCAGCCCATTTGGCTGGCAGTAGTATTCCATTGTTTGAGAGATTTCTAAACATAGTAAAAGCCCTAATAACTGGCAATGTGTCATCTGCTCTGTGTGGAGGGGGGCTGAGTCTGAACATGGCAGAAAAATACATTCCAAAGCCCCAGTCCTGCTTGGACAGAGGAGCATCCCACAGCTTGTGCCACACTGACAAGAGGCCATTGTGCAATGTCTGCTCTAGTGCCTGACCACCAAGTGACAGCCATGAACAAGCTGCTTTGCACAACAAAGAAAATCCTGTGGAAACCATTCTAGAAGCCTGAAGGAGGACTGAGACTAGAGATATAATGATTTCAGTGTGTACAACAGATGGAGACTTCAGAGCATGGAGCCACTAATCTATGGATTACAGATTCCCTAATTATAGACTGACACTTACCATTTCTGAGAGGCAGCATCAGCCAAAGGAGGGACAAAATCCAAAAGCCAACCTTGACATTGACTATAATATTAATCCCAGCATGATCCTATCTTATTGACTCCTGGGCTTGGAGTAAATAAAAACTCATTACTCCTGCTACTTTCTGCCCGATTCTGTCCCACTCAGTCATACAACAAATGCTACGCTGGCACCTAGAGATCCCACAAAAGTGGACCCTGATATTATCTCTAGCACTGCACTTAGCTGATATCTGTGAACCCTGGGACACAAGAACTAAAGCAACCAGCAGTCAAGCAGGTGACGCCATCAACTCTTTTATTCCAGATCCCTAAACCTAAAACCACGCCTAATCCATGCTGTCCGCCTATCCCGTGACATTTGTCATCTCCAGATTTACCTGCATGTTAATGGCTGGGGGAGAAAACAGCTTCAGCACAAATGAAACTGGAGGGCCTGGCTAGGCACAGCAGTGCTTCAAGTCCGGAGTCCTAACTGAGATGCAATACCCTCCCTGCTTCCTATCGTACCCAAATTAACCATAACTGTTTGTGTACTCCTGGCCTTACCCTGTACCAAGCTATCTTGTAGAATGCAGAAATTAACTGAGCTCCACAGCCACCATTCAATGAACAACAGCCATAGCGTGGACCCCAACGCTGTACATTACCCGCATTCCTCAACTGCCTCAGACACAGGAAAATCACTTGCATTTGAGCCACGAGAGCCTAGCAGGAGCAGGAAACTCAAGCTCTTCAACTTTATACTCTGGTGCACTGTCTATCCTCATGCCTTGGGGACATCCCTTACCCACAGCAGTAAACGTAAGGCAATTGCAGAGACTAATAACAAAACCCTGGGATCTGGCAAGACGCAGCCATCAAATAGGTTTCCAGTGCCCCCAGCAAAGCTGCTGTCTCCAACACTGACCCTCCCTTATGGCCCCCCTGAGCCCCGGCCTGTCTGGAAGCTGCTCGCTGCCGTGCGCGCCGCGTCTCGGGCCTGGCGCTGCCCGGCTTCTGAGTGCCAGTGGCCGGGCAGCTCCTGCGCTGAACCCTGCAGGGGATCAGGAGGGGCATGTGGCTCTGACTGACCCCAGCCGGGACGGGGCCAGGGCACCAGGCTCTTCACGGTTCTCTCATCTGGAAGCGTCACAAACCTGTAACGTCCTGCTGAGCTCAGCACGGCTCTCACCTGTGGGACAGCACCGGCAGGATGTCCCATGTTCTCCATGCAGTGCAGATGAGAGAATGATTCATAAATATCAGAGCAACTGACAAGTGCCACCGTGTTTCCTGTGGAGGGGTTTTCCACAGGTCCCTGTCTTGGTTATTTAATAGCTTCACGAGGGTCTCCACCAAATGATCCTGAGTTGGAATTTACTCATGAAATATTCATGGAAAATTGAAATTGGACCTGCATAGTAATTATAAATTCTGTCACGCAGATCATACGTATTTTGTATCTGGATGGGAGCATGTACAGCAAGCCAAAAGGAAGCTCAAATTTCCCACTATTTCTATGACTGCTTTGCTTTATCCGTTATACTTTACGGTTCACAGATTAAAATTCACATGAGTATCAACACTAAAAATGCTTTAGGTGAAAGTCTTAGGCTGCTCAGGCTTATAATTCACTGGGGTTTAATACACATTCTCCTTGATACTTCAGAAAAGCAAACAAATTAGAAAAAATTAGATTGGATATAAGGAGGAAATTCTTTCCTGTGAGGGTGGGGAGGCACTGGAATGGGTTGCCCAGGGAGGTTGTGAATGCCCCATCCCTGGCAGTGTTCAAGGCCAGGTTGGACGAGGCCTTGGGTAATATGGTTTAGAGCGAGGTGTCCCTGCCCATGGCAGGGGGGTTGGAACTTGATGATCTTAAGGTCCTTTCCAACCCGAACTATTCTATGATTCTAAAAAAGAACACGGTTTAGTAAAAGCAATCATGAACTAAGATAAGTATTTAAATATTAAAATAAGTACATTACAGCATTTTCCTGGCTGCATGAAATGGGTAACTGATCTGCTGTAGTGAAAGCCAGTAGTCACAAGACTGGGGTCCCTAGGAAGTACAGTATTTGAGGTGTGTGCGCCACTGAATAAATGGGTGAAGTATAAATGGGTGCATGTTGTAGCTACTGGGAAGAATCTTGGCAAGGTGGGTTAAAAGCTGAGCCTTGGTAAGTGAATCTCCCTGCTCATTAGACAGTGTTTGTTCCATGAGTAAAGAGCATCCAGAGCTCTTGTGCAAAGTCTGAACTGAAAATCACACAGGTATGCACATTTACTAGATTCTGATCCTCAGAGAATGAACACTTATAAAACAAGGTGCCTCGCAGAAAGTCTCTGGATACTGTAAAACAAAAATCTGGTTTCCTTTGGACTCCTAAAGCAGAGTTGCTGAGTTGTTGCATTCTTGTTTGATGTACTACATGAAATCATATTATTAACTCCAGAGACACAGCAGGCTGTTCCCTGCTCTCTGGTCAGCATTTCACCATTGCTACAGCAACGGCCACAAACAGCTGTGCAAACCCTGAGAATGGGCTCGTTCTTTGGGCCCTGACTCCCCCCAGGCCTCTCAGCAAGCACCAGCTCTGCCGGTTATGGCTGGGACAGCTTAAGCTTCCCCCAGGCACTGACTCTTTGGGTGCCAGAAGGTGTGAGCTTGAGGAAGGGAAGAGACAAGAGCGGTGAGAGAGCAGGCAGTGAGCAGAAAGTCTTCAGCATTAGCTCAGCTAGAGCATAACCAGACCAGCACAAACCCTTACCAACAGCTTCTGCTGGACTATTTCCTACAACAAGAATATTACCTGTTGATTAAGCTCTCCTCAGGCTCATTCGAAGCTGAGCACCTAATGGCAGCTGTGTAATTTGCTGTGGCTGGGTTTCAGCAAATGTGCAGAACAAGTTACCAACAAGACTGTGCCTCAATTGTGCTTAAACCAGCAGGAGCAGCGTAGGTGAGTGCTGCTCCTGATTTTCAGCAGTGTAACGCAGATAACAGCATAGCCTAGGAGTCCAAGGAAGGTGGGTAGAAAACCAACAGTATAGCGTTCCTGCTTGAGCCCTGGGGTGGTGTGTTGCAGACTGCAGTTAGCTGGTGCAGGCCTGCATGGGAAGTGTCCATGTCTGTCATTTTGGTGTTTGAGTGTGAAAAATATGCCAGGAAAGCTGTGATTTCACAAATTTAGACCAAGGATGGAACAGGAACTTGCCTCCTGTACACATGGTGAAACACAACAACAGGACTCGAAGAAATCTTGAGCTACTCAAAAAACTCTTCTTGATGGAGATTGTAGCAGAGATACAAAGACTGACTGCCAAAACTGAGAAAGGCAAAACTTGGCCATGCTTGGCTTTAGCAATTGTAAAATGACTGCAATGCTAGAAATCTGACATTGGCTTGGAGACTGGAAGCAAGTCACTAAAAATTGAACTGGCACTGGTTTGCTAACAGTTGTCTAAATATATAGCTCAATACGTAGCAGAAAGAAATGCAGCATAGTGAGTGGAAAAGCGGTTAAAGAAAAGCCTTCTCCATTCAGAAGAAACAAACACATCTGTCTGCTGTATGGATGACATTTGGATCAGCCAGCAACAGCAAGAGTAAGTTCATGACCAGGCAGACACCCGTTCCTTCCCACAGCCAGCCACTAGGGATGATCTAGCTGCTACAGAATGCCTTTAAACTGCAAATGTGCAGCCCAGTACCCACCCACAAAAGACATCTGCTGCAGAGAGAGTTGTCCTGCTCGGTGGATGTGCAATCCTTGCATGAGCTAACGCTTTCTGAAATGCTTCAACTCGGTATCCAGCAACTACACCCCAAACTGGCTGAGGCCAGTCCGTACTTCCTGGAGGTGAAGATGTTTCTCTCTGTTGTTACAGGCACAGCGGAAGCTCTTGATGTGCTTTCTTGCTGAGGTCCTGACTCCGGCTCTGCTGAAACCATCCTCACTGGTCAATGTCTCCTTGGCTGAACTACTCATCTGCTGACCCACAGATGCTTTGAAGGCTCAGATCTTGAGCAGACTGTTTCCTTTATGAACAAGCTGCAATATAAATGCAGTAAGGATCATATAATAGTGAGTCATTAACTTTAATTTCTTTATAATAGTCCTAATTAGGATCTGTGCATTCAGAGATTCGAATGGAAAAGCTTCTGGAACTTGGATTCTTTTGTTTGTACATTCTCTGTATGTTTTCAGCCATCCCAGAAGCTCAGTAATGTTAAACTGACACAAAACATACTTTACAGAACAAGATTATTATTCTGCTGTGTCTGGTCCAGGGAAAAGAAACATCGTGAGCTTCACTTCCTGGAGACAGACAAAGGAGGTCTGAAAGCACTGCCTTTACCCATCCATGGGGAATTTACTGCCCTTCCAGAAACTTCACTGGCAAGGGAGCATTTTTCACTGGCAGTTTCCAAGCTGGGGATCTCGACTCTTGTCCAGGCATGAAGAGAATAAACCTGGATGTGTTTTAGGGTTAGTGGAGAGCATACACTGAAGAAGCAGGAAGGCAAAGGGCAGATTTGGCATCAGTCTCTTTTTTATTAGGCATCTAAACATTTTTTTTATGAATGAAACCTGAGCAAATTTGACATGATAATTCTAACAAATAACGCTGCTACCATTATTTCTTAGGTCCTGAGTTTACAAGCTCTGATACTATCTTTAACTTAAAAACATGGCAACATTCTAAACTACATAAATAGCATTAAATATCAGTGTAGGATGTGTGAAGCACTTTTGCAGGATGAGAACCATAGTGTCTTGTAATTCTCTCAAGTCAGCATGTTTTAGGGCTTTCTTTGCCAAGTTCCCAGCAATGTTTCCTCAGTTGCAGTGTACCTTGCTGATGCCTACACCTCGCTGATCCCAGCATTCCACTTCTGGTTCTGCTGTACCTTCCCTGATTGTTAATGCTCTGCAGAGAAATACAGACCTCCTCATGGTCATGGAAAGTGCTTTGCAATCCTCAAAGGAAAAATACTGTTGAGTTAGTAACTATTAATGTGCAAGACTAAGAAAATAAATTGCAGTTTCAAAGAAAAGAAAGTATAGAAAAAGTATACACTCCTTAACAGGATTAAGGCACACATACTATCCCTTTTCAAGACAAGACAGAGAAAA